ACCCGCACTGGATTGCGTTTAAGGATCGGTCGGTTTGATCAGGATGTGGCCGATGTTTCGAATCAACAGATGTTGATCAACGTTGAACTAGATAGAGGTTTGCGTCCCCCACATTGAGATGGGGTTGCGTAGGTGCGGTGGGTTGAGATGTCACATATGGGTTGAAGTGTCTAGAAATCAAACATCTTACAATGAAGACTACATAGAAAATAGTACCATGAAGAAACAAAAGGTGTCGAGTTTATATCTTTAAAATATTAGACAAAAGTAGTCTAATATAGTATTAGTAATTCGTAGATTAGAGCTATATATACCTAACATTAATAGTAGTGGCCAAACTTGTATATACTGAAGATTTAAAAACTTCCTAAATAGAAAATAAAATTATGCCTACATTAGTGACAAATTGTGAAATAAAATGACATTTATTTATTTGTCTTCACTGTTAGGACTATTATGCATCACTTCATGTACATGTAATCTGATAAAACCCAATATGTTAATTTCTAGCCTTGTCATACAACTAAAGGTCATAAGGCTCTTGTGCAACACTTCCTGTCCACACTTTTCAACTTAACACTGGACCAACTCGCAGATCAGCAATTTTCTCTTGTCATCCCAACAAAGGCAAATGTCCCTTGCTTCTGACAAAGTGTTAAATATTGTAGTTTGGTGAAATTATTTGAAAAGACAGAAGACTATAACTTGTTCAACAAGGAGCCTGTTAGAAAAATATCATAATTATCTCCATAGACAAAAACTTGTTTTTTAATTTAATTCAATATTTATTCAAACTAGCTATTTAAGAGTCTTAATGTCAATCAAGTTATTTGTTATATGTAATTTTGAAGGCCAAACAACATTCAACACTTGTGACCAAATAAATATTGTATTGTCCTTTTCAAATACCATCATAATCGACAACAAATCTGCATCATTCAACAGGACGAAACGAGTTATTCGCCCAATACAAATTACAATAACACTTCGAAGACACAGGGGAGTGATTTTACTGACCTTTATAGAGCTGTGTGACTGCTGTCGCAGCATTTTGAAAAGAGATCCACACTGCCGGCGTACAGTGCTGGCAAGATGCGCGATCTGTAACAGGAGAAATTTAGCGTTTATATCGTTTTCATGTGAATGCATCGTCACAGAAAGAGATAATTCACTTGAAAGAAAATGGTTGACGCTTATCGGGAAATACGGCATAAGCAAAATACTATTGGTTCGAAAACATACAAGAACACGAATTATATCATGAAGTTACCTTTATATAACTGGGCGACCGCCGTCGCCGAATTTTGAAAGGAAAGCCATAATTTTTGGGTGGAATCTTCCCGGTCTGCTAACAAACGCTCGTCATAATTCGCTTCGTTTTCGAGTTGTTCCAAGCATTGTTGTTCCCAATTCGACACCCATAAATCACCAACAGAATCGTCTTGTCGATCTTTTTGATCAGACATTTCAGGTAAGAGTCCTTATCTCTTTGTTGTACAACCTAAAATCCAACAAATGTTATGAAATAGCGCAATTTGACGGAATATAGACGACACTTATCTGTAGAACGTTGTAAAGTCACTGGGCGATATTGAAAACAGAATGCATTATGGGGAAAACAGACTATGCAAAGGAGCGCATGCGCAGGTTTGATCATCTAACACACTCACAAATGTTAAGATGGCGTTAGGGCCCTTTAACTGTACATCATTTTCTTGATACTGCAAGTTTTTGTTGTTCTGAATGTTTTGTTTTGTTATTTTTGGACTTTACTCAAGATTTCATTGTTACGTTCCAAATAAATAAAAAAAATTCTATTTATTTTTTTTCCCATTAATATTCTGTTTTTGTAGATTAGTTTGCTTTTATTACTTCCAAGTTTAATATTATTATTGTATAGTATTAGTGTATACTTTTACAATCGTTTTCACTAAACATTGGACGATCAGATTGTGGTAAATGTTGATACATCAGAGCAAGTACCTAATGAAATTGCCACTGATTTTATCACTACTAATCAAAACATCATAACTGTAGCCTAAACATTTTTGATACAATGTATACCTGTCCGAATCCAAGGCGCCATTCTCTCTTTTATTGTTTGCGCAAGACATTTTGTTTTTTAAATTTCACGCCGATTAATACTAGGCTGTCGCCATTTATAAAATTCAATATGCTGTAAAATATTGCCAGTCAAGCATGTTCTGTTACCATGTTTCGTCCGTGCTT